GGGGAGACACTATGGGAGAAGGGGAGGGGGAGACACTATGGGAGAAAGGGAGGGGGAGACACTATGGGAGAAAGGGGAGGGGGACACACTATGGGACAAGGGGAGGGGAGACACTATGGGAGAAAGGGGAGGGGGAGACACTATGGGACAAGGGCAGGGGGACACTATGGGAGGGAAAGTGCACTATGGGACAATGGGAGGGGGGGACACTATGGGATCAGAACACTAATGGACAAGGGGAGGAGGGGTTAAAGAACACTATGGGACAGGGTAGGAGGGGTTAACAATCACTATGGGACAGGGGAGTAGGGGTTAACAATCACTATGGGACAGGGGAGTAGGGGTTAACAATCACTATGGGACAGGGGAGGAAGGGTTAACAATTACTATGGGACAGGGGAGGAGGGGGGTTAAAGATCATTATGGGACAGGGGAGAAAAAAAAATATTCTAAACAAACTGTCCCATAGTAAGAAACACTATGGAACAGTTTGTTCAGAATATTTTTTTTTTCTGGGTTTCCTCCTCTAAAAACTAGGTGCGTCTTATGGTGAGGTGCGTCTTATGGAGCGAAAAATACGGTAAACATATAGTGTCTGTACATTAATTAAACATTATATAGTGTCTATACATTAATTAATTATATAGTGTCTGTACATTAAACATTATATAGTGTCTGTAAATCAAACATTATATAGTGTCTGTACATTAAACATTATATAGTGTCTGTACATTAATTAACCATTATATAGTGTCCATAAATAAATAAACATTACATAGTGTCTGTGAAGGGATAACCCCATCACCATTCTGCTAATTGTACTCCCTTCTATCAGCCTTCCCTAGTCATTCGTTCTTTTTGTTGTTCCATTCGTTAATTTGTTAGGTTCCCGAACTGAGACCACCCCAGAGACTAATTAGAACTAAGAACACCATGTATCCATACCAAAACCGCAGACTAATTGATTGCTCCTAGGTGGCTGCCATTTTGTGCATATGAATACACTTGGTGAGAACAAAAAAATCACAGTGTCCTCTGCCCATCTGACATGATGGAGAGCTAACAGTGCTTCAGTCCCTGTTGTTTGATTTGTATATTCTACATGGCCGGGCTGGACGTTCGAAACACTGAGAGTGCATGCCTTCTCAAACGGTTTGTATAAATTAGGTATAATGCACTTTGAGAATTGGCCATATCGTAATAGCTGTCATCGTGCCCTGCGTTTTTTGAAGACCCCAATTAATGACCATAAATACTGCTTAATATTTAGATTAAATAATATTTATACAAAGCCTATATTGCTAAATGTAAAAATAAAAGGCTGTTTTATCCTGAGAAATATATAGATTATGTTAGGATATAATTATAATTTTATGACCTATGACAGCGGTTCTTTACTCTTCTGATATGGACCCAACTTCAGTGCCTTTCTTATTGGAAAACATTTTTTTTTCCACTTCCCAGCAGGGTCTATATAGCCTTGGGGAATATACAATGTGGCGTGGGACCCACTGAAACATTCTCTAGCCAGACCAGGGTTTTATAATCATTGATCTGTAATAGCCACTGTGTCATTTTAGAACTGCAGATTTCATTCTGATCGTTTGACCCATTGCAACTTGTTGTGTAAGACTAACAATAAGCACTGCAATAACAATATCGAAACTCAAGTCCCGTGAATGAGCTTTGTGTCCTGAATTCTTATCTGCTTTCTTTTAGGTTCAATCTGTTGGCGAAGACTCGACGGACATGGAAACAAGATGGCATGAACTCCCTGCAGTACACATTTATATCGAAAGAGCTTCTACCACTCTATACAAACATCACGGTGGACATTGGCTCAGACAAACATGTAAAGCGCCACACGTGAGAGCCAGATATCTTCTGACCAACTGTGCCCTACTCTCCACCAACTCCTGCATCTAACACAGGAGCAGTGACTACAGGAATACAGGAACGCTGTCTCATTGTCTACCTTCCTGTAATCAGAAAATGGAAAAACCAAAGATTGAATTCAGTGTTGCTGACTTTTCATGCTGTGAAATCCACAGCAAGTGGAGCGGTTTCTTTTTTCTTTTTCCTGTTGTGCCATTGGAATCGATTGGTTGTACCTCCCACTGCACATTTTGTGAAGGGAGGTCAGATCTAATCTGGGGATAATTGTTTTTGTACCACTATCTGCCTGTCTGCAGTGCAGGGGTTATGTCACAGCTGTCTATTTTCTCACCTTATAAGCAAATCAAAAAAAAAAAACATTATTGGTCAATTTCTTACAAGTGCAATTTTTATTTTATATATATACATATTTTTTATTTGAAAAGGAGGATTTTACATCGATTTAAATCGGTTTTTTTTTTTTTTTCCTTTTCTTGCAAGATGGCTTATGTTACCAATAGCTGTGTTTAACTTGGCACGGACTGACATCCCAGAACTGGAGTTTTGAGTTTAGAACTTTATTCATGATGTGCGTTTTCTTTTCTGAGTTTGATTTTTCTGCTTTGATGTGTTTTTTCTTTCTTTCTGCAGTCTGTCACCTTAAAGAAATGTTTGTCTTCTTTTTTTCCAATATTATCATTATTGTTTTATTCCACTTTCAATACTGGATTTAGAAAAGAACACGTGAACTGCACTTAAATGGTTTTTGAATTTATCAACTGAATGCAAAATTCTTAAACAGTGTTACCTTTCCATCCAAAGTGCCTTTAGTGCCGGTGTAACGTGCGGGACATGTCGCAAACCCCATCGCCACTCAAACATTCTGAATGCTTTCCACAGGTCACATCAGCCGTTTTCATCCTTATACGGTTTATCAATAAAATGTGAAACTGTAAGAGATTTCCTACAACTTGATATATATTTCTATGGTGTTAAATTATATTTTTGTTGCAAAAGAACCTAGATTTAATTCCAAGGTGAAAATGTTTCTTATTTTCCTAAATTTATAATAGATTTGTGAAGGGATAAACAGGATAATTATTAAAGGAACATGTTCAATTTGTTTGTTAATTAGCTTATGTAGAAATGTATTTATTTTTATCATCTGGTGGTTCCCAGGGACTATCTTGGAATTCATCACACTTGTTTAATCCTTTAAAACCCAGAGTGTCAGGAATAGCTGATGCCCAACACGCAGAACTTAATATAAAGGAAGATCCTAAAACGTATTACCGGGGCTTAGAATGGCCGGATTTAACGTATAAAGGAAAAAAACACAAGAAATAACGTAAATGATGAACAAGCCACGAGTCAAGGAATGGAGATATCAGAATAGTCAGGAGCCAGGCCAAAGGTCAAGGAATACAGAGATCGGATAGTCAGAAGGAAAGCCAAGGTCAAATACACAAGAATCAATACACACAAGAAACACTCTCTCGGATAACCACAATGGAAACCACGACAGGGCACAGAGAAATGGACAAAACAGGTTTATATAGTCTAAGGTGCTCCCTGATTCGCTGCAGAGAAGCATGTGTTCGTGGGCGTGTGTGTGGCACACCCACAGGTCAATAATGAAATGGCACTTTAAGGGTTAACTAAAAAAACCTTAAATCTAACAAAGCTGCAGCGGTTGGCGTCTCTAATGATTACAGACCCAGCCACTGTGAGAGGAGGAGCAGCCATCACCGGGGGTGAGTGATGGGCGGCATTCCCATAACCATGTGGGAATGCAGCCGGACCGAGATGTGCCCACCGTTCCAGACCGCTCCCGGGCATGAGCGTACCAGACAGGTATGTATCCGGCGGCATTCCCCTTGACATGTGGGAATGCCGCCGCAGAGATTGCTAATCCTTGTTTTACTTTTCTTTTCTCATTTATTTATCTAAAAAATGTCTTGCCCCCTTTTTTTACTAACTGTGCTATTTTCTCTTCTGTGTGTGATTTGGAAGCTCTTCTAACTTGCTTAGCTTTCTGCCTAATCTCATAAATCATTTTGCCTTCCTCACTCTGTGTTTTTTTTTTTATAATTACTAAATGCTAACTTTTAGTTTTTTACTATTTTGGCCACATCCGGGGAGTACCACAGTGGTTTCTTTAATTTTTTGCTTTTACTGACAAGCCTAATGCAATTTTCTGTTGCCTTCAGCAGTGCAACTTTTAAATAATCCCATTTCTCTTGGACTCTATTTAAATTGCTCCAGTCTGATAATTACTCCTTTACACATATTCTAATTTTAGAAAAGTCTGTTTTTAACACAAAACTTTTGTTTTTGTGTGGTGTGACTCAGTCACTGTTCTTATATTAAACCACACTGACTGATGATCACTGGATCCTAAACATTCACCTACAGTAATATCTGATACCAAATCTCCATTTGTTAACACTAAATCTAGTATGGCCTCATTTCGAGTTTGCTCCTCAATTACTTGTTTTAGAGACAAAGGGGAGGAGGATGGGGATTGGGGCACTATATTTATGAGATGGGGGGTTGGGGCACTATCTCTGAGGAGGGGGATTGGTGTACTCTCCATGGGGGTATGGGACTTGGATACTATCTATGGGGAGGTGGACTAGGGGGTGTAGAATGTATACTATCTATGGGTGGGAAATGGGGTTAGGAGGAGAATGTAGTACTATCTATGCTGGAGAGGAGGTGAGTAGGTTGCTTCTATAGGGGGGGGACTGGGTACTATCTATGGGGAAGAGGAGGCACGTAGGCTATTATGGGGGGAACGTAATGGGCTACTAACTATAGAGGGCAGACACTAGGCTTCTTCTTCTGCCTATGGGAAATAGAGGGGGGGGGCGACTCCAAACTATGGGGCAGTAATTGGCTACTAGCTATTTGAGATAGGAATGGGTTACAGACAATGAAGGATACAAATTCACCACTTCATTCATGCAGACAGTCAGTACCCACCATACACAAAAACACTGACCAACTACACACTTATGCACCTTTACGCTCATCAAACCTCCAGACACATCCCTGCATTCACACACAGACTGTACCCACACACGTCCCTACATTCAAACACAATGACATGCTCCATATATATGCACCTGTATCCACACGAACTACATACAAATATGGCCCTGCATTTACACACCCACACACACACACATACATATCAATACAAATATGCACCTGCATACACACAAATTGAAGTTGTGTACATACTCAAATTAATTTAAAAAAAATACTGTGCACAAGCATTTGAGGTGGATCATAATGTTTCACAGCTGGCTGGCAACTCAACCCCTTCTAATCTGCATTCACACACCCACATTCCCCTGCACTCCACTCTCCTGCTCCAGTTACTAATTTATAAACACACGACACAATGACTTATGGGGCTGGCATAGATTTTTTTCCAGGGCTGCTGTGTATCCCCAGTCCGGCCCTGAAATACTTCCTAGCAAAACCTCTGAACTGCTCACTGAGAACATTTGTTCCCTTTTGAGAAAGATGCAAACCATCTTTTTTGTACAGTTTATTTCCATTCCAAACAGAGCTACCATGAGAAATAAAGCCAAATCCTTGCTCCCGACACCATTCACCAAGCCACAAATTAAAGTCCCTAATACGCATCCGCCTGTGGTTCTGAGTGTTATTGCTTGGCTAATATAGCTTGGTTGCTACATCTAAGTGTTGCTTCTAAGTGTGTAGTTGGAGATATTCTGGAGAGTTTTACAGAAGCTTCAACTGTGTAAGATTTGGGCTAAGAGCTTTCTTTTCTACTGTTACAGGAAAGATTCATCTGTAGGAAAAGGTTACTGATTGCACACGGTTTGAATTCCTGTTGGTAATTATAAGGCATTTGATTAGCTAGGTGTTTGCTATTGATAATTTGTTAATAATCAATAGGAAACATCTATTTTTTAATCTGCAGAGACTAGTGGTGTATCCTGGTTTTGTGCTGCCATAGGCAGGACAAAACTCAGGCTCCCCCCGCGCCACCCCCACTCCTACCCAACCCTTCCCCGTCTTCTAAATACACACACACATTCACTGACAGATACGCATACACTAGCTAACAGACACACACTCTCACATTAAAACACTCACTTTTTTTTAATTTAACCCCCCAGCCTCCTTACCTTTGGGAATGCTGGGGGTTCTCCCTCTCCCTGGGGTCCAGTGGCTGCTGGGCGGGTGGCCAGCCGGCAAGGGAGCACTTTCCCCTGAGCTGTTTTTTGCCGCCCAAGGCAAATGCTTTGTTTGGCTTGAGGCTAAAACATCCCCGGCTGAGACTTATGTCTATCTTCTGTCCGTACTCCCAACTCTGATGCTCACCTTCAAGACTTCTCCAGGGCTGCACCGTTCCTGTGGAACTCACTTCCCTCCTCCGTTAGATGCTTACCCAGTATCCACTCCTTCAAAAAAATCGTTAAAAACCCACTTCTTCATAAAAGCATATGAATTAACCCCTTAAGGACACATGACATGTGTGACATGTCATGATTCCCTTTTATTCCAGAAGTTTGGTCCTTAAGGGGTTAAGGACCAAACGTCTGGAATAAAAGGGAATCATCACATGTGTCCTTAAGGGGTTACACTGTTAATAGCTCTCGTCTGATTCCTCTCTTGCAACGATCATTAGTCTAATACTATCCTTACCTTTTGTGTCATTTTACCCCACTCCCTCTAGCATGTAAGCTCATTGAGCATGGCCCTTAACCCCTCTGTTCCTGTGTGTCCAACTTGTCTGGTTACAATTACGTGTCTGTTAGTCCACCCATTGTAAAGCGCTGCATAACTTGTTGGCGGTATATAAATAATAACATAGTAATAATTAGCTATTGTTAGCAAATAAGCCTAGGCCTACCCAGGTGTTAAACATTCAAAAGATTTTTTTAATTTAAATTATTCACCTCGTTGGAATGGCAGGCTTAGTTCAGTGTAATAGTTGCTATGCATTTGTTTCACATTCCACTTTTTGGAGATTTGGAAGCTGTCTAATCTGTAGACAGTTCTCTATCTTGCGGCAGGAGATTGTATTTTTGAAGTCTGAAATTTGTAAATTATCTGGTAAACAAACTCTGGCTGGAACTGCTGCAAAGTCACTGCCGCAGAGACGTACCAGGAATGGCAGATGGATTACCGTAGGATCAGAGTTGTGGATAAAGGGCATATTGCACAGTCTGTTGCTCTATATAACATAGAAACATAGAATGTGACGGCAGATAAGAACCATTCGGCCCATCTAGTCTGCCCAATTTTCTAAATACTTTCATTAGTCCCTGGCCTTATCTTATAGTTAGGATAGCCTTATGCCTATCCCACGCATGCTTAAACTCCTTTACTGTGTTAACCTCTACCACTTCAGCTGGAAGGCTATTCCATGCATCCACTACCCTCTCAGTAAAGTAATACTTCCTGATATTATTTTTAAACCTTTGTCCCTCTAATTTAAGACTATGTCCTCTTGTTGTGGTAGTTTTTCTTCTTTTAAATATAGTCTCCTCCTTTACTGTGTTGATTCCCTTTATATATTTAAATGTTTCTATCATATCCCCCCTGTCTCGTCTTTCCTCCAAACTATACATGTTAAGATCCTTTAACCTTTCCTGGTAAGTTTTATCCCGCAATCCATGAACCAGTTTAGTAGCCCTTCTCTGAACCCTCTCTAAGGTATCAATATCCTTCTGAAGATAGGGTCTCCAGTACTGTGTACAATACTCCAAGTGAGGTCTCACCAGTGTTCTGTACAATGGCATGAGCACTTCCCTCTTTCTACTGCTAATACCTCTCCTATACAACCAAGCATTCTGCTAGTATTTCCTGCTGCTCTATTACATTGTCTGCCTACCTTTAAGTCATCAGAAATAATCACCCCTAAATCCCTTTCCTCATATGTTGAGGTTAGGACTCTCAAATATTCTGTACTCTGCCCTTGGGTTTTTACGTCCAAGATGCATTATCTTGCACTTATCCACATTAAATGTCAGTTGCCACAATTCTGACCATTTTTTCTAGTTTACCTAAATCATTTGCCATTTGGCTTATCCCTCCTGGAACATCAACCCTGTTACATATCTTAGTATCATCAGCAAAAAGACATACCTTACCATCAAGACCTTGCAATATCACTAATAAAAATATTAAAGAGAATGGGTCCAAGTACAGATCCCTGAGGTACCCCACTGGTGACAAGTCCAAGCTTCGAATATATTCCATTAACTACAACCCTCTGTTGCCTGTCACTCAGCCACTGCCTTACCCATTCAACAATATTGGAATCCAAACTTAAAGATTGCAGTTTGATAAGCCTTCTATGTGCAACAGTGTCAAAAGCCTTACTGAAATCTAGGTAAGCAATGTCTACTGCACCACCCTGATCTATAATTTTAGTTACCCAATCAAAAAAATCAATAAGATTAGTTTGGCATGCTCTCCCTGAAGTAAACCCATGTTGTCTCTGATCTTGAAATCCATGTGTTTTAGATGTTCAACAATCCTATCCTTTACCATGGTTTCCATCACTTTCCCCACTACTGAAGTAAGGCTTACTGGCCTATAGTTGCCCGACTCCTCCCTATTACCTTTCTTGTAAATGGGCACAACATTCGCTAACTTCCAATCTTCTGGGACTATTCCTGTTAACAATGATTGGTTAAATAAATCTGTTTATGGTTTTGCTAGTACACCACTAAGCTCTTTTAATAGCTTTGGGTGTATTCCATCAGGTCCCATTGACTTATTTGTCTTTACTTTTGACAGTTGAAATAGAACCTCTTCCTCTGTAAACTCACGTGTAATAAATAACTCATTTATCCTTTTTCTCAACTAAGGTCCCTTTCCTTCATTTTCATATGTAAATACAGAAATAATTAATTTACAGCACTTTCAGAGTGTAATGGTGTTGTGGAGACAGGCTCAGGCACCAAGTGTAGTGGTGTTGTGGAGTCAGGCTCAGGCACCGAGGGTAGTGGTGTTGTGGAGTCAGGCCCAGGCACAGAGTGTAGCGGTGTTGTGGAGACAGGCTCAGGGCACTGAGTGTAGCGGTGTTGTGGAGACAGGCTCAGGGCACTGAGTGTAGCGGTGTTGTGGAGACAGGCTCAGGGCACTGAGTGTAGTGGTGTTGTGGAGACAGGCTCAGGGCACTGAGTGTAGTGGTGTTGTGGAGACAGGTTCAGGGCACCGAGTGTAGTGGTGTTGTGGAGACAGGCTCAGGGCACCGAGTGTAGTGGTGTTGTGGAGACAGGCTCAGAGCACCGAGTGTAGTGGTGTTGTGGAGACAGGCTCAGGGCACTGAGTGTAGTGGTGTTGTGGAGACAGGCTCAGGGCACTGAGTGTAGTGGTGTTGTGGAGACAGACTCAGGCTCTGAGTGTAGTGGTGTTGTGGAGACAGACTCAGGCTCTGAGGGTAGTGGTGTTGTGGAGATAGGCTCAGGCTCCGAGTGTAGTGGTATTATGGAGACAGGCTTAGAGACTATGGTGAGGCCTAATAGAAAGCAGTTGTTGTCAGGGGATTCCATCATAAGCGGTGTGGAGCTGGACAATAGTGGTCTTGTGAGATGTCTTCCCGGAGCTACTGCTCACAGAGACAGGAGACGTACTTGTAATATTGTTAAGAGAGCAAAGCAGGAAGGGGAATTGGATATACTTGTCCATCTAGGGACAAATGACTTGGCTTGCAATGACGTTTCAGAGGTTAAGGAAGTTTTTAGTGTTTTTGCCAATGATATATGGCAGGTTGCTTCCACACTGTCATTCTCTGAAGTTCTGCCTGTGCATAACACTCAGAACAACAGGCGGATGCGTATTAGGGACTTTAATTTGTGGCTTGGTGAATGGTGTCGGGAGCAAGGATTTGGCTTCATTTCTCATGGTAGCTCTGTTTGGAATGGAAATGAACTGTACAAAAAAGATTGTTTGCATCTTTCTCAAAAGGGAACAAATTTTCTCAGTGAGCAGTTCAGAGATTTTGCCAGGATGTATTTAAAGTAGGAGGAGGGGGCAAAAGGGTGATAAAACATCAATCCAATTGTCCCCCAAAACAAGGACAGAAGGTGCCTGTAGCAAGTGTGTTAAAAATTATAAGCTTAGAGTCCAGTCTAAAAATGCTCACAGTTTAGGGAATAAGGTCCAGGAACTTGTGGCAATAATGGCAACTGATAATGTAGATTTAGTCGCTGTTCCTGAGACATGGTATAATGAGAAAAATGACTGGGACATAGCAATACCAGAGTTCATGGATTGCAGGTTAAAACTTACAAGGAAAAGTTAAAGGAACTTAACATGTATAGCTTGGAGGAGAGACGAGACAGGGGGGATATGATAGAAACATTTAAATACATAAAGGGAATTGTAAGGAAACCAAGTATATTTAAACCTCATTCTGTAGTTTCCTCCCGAACCGCCAGAGCCTTAGTGATTATAGCCCTCCGTTCGGTAGATAGAATAGACAAACCATATAGTAATCCCAATAGCTTCACAAGAAGATTCCCTTAGTGAAACACACGAATCCCCAAACATCAGCCGAAGTCAAGAAGAAGGAACGGAACTACCGAACGGACGGCCACCCAGAAGAGAAGTGGGCTGCTGGTTAACCTATTGATCCCAATTAGAACATTGCGGTTGACCACAGACACTTCTCAATTAAAACCGAATACAGGGTGGTCGTTGTTCGTATGTCGACCACGAGGCGGCGGCCATTTTAACTATGCGAAAGCCCAGCGGTGCTCGATTATTTCATGGAACTAAAAACGGACACTTTTTCAACCGAACACTGCTGAAGCCGTCGACCTCCCCTTCTCAATCGACAAAAGTATATGAATACCGGCCGTTCGAGAGATTTAAAGACACGAATGGACTTAACCCAGATAGCCTTCCCATGGAGTCAATCGCATACCGAAGAACTGTAATAGACTTTGACTCCATGGCGATTGAACTGTGCGTATGGGATCTAAGCGCTATTCGCCAATAATATGCACTCAGATCCAGGCTATCTGGGGATGTGCTATACGAATGCAATACGTTCAGCAGTTATAAAGTTCTGTATTTTAATGTGTTTTGTAACTTTGAGTTAAAATGGCGATTTGCCTCTGCTCTGGGAGATAATTGAATTACTTCCCAATTATCTACCGAGCAGAGGGGAGGAAACTGTGATGCATGCTGGGAATATTGTGGGGATGTATGTCTGAAATGTCCCCATGTCCTTCTGTGATTTCAGTCTCCCATTTGGTCCCCTAGGGGAGTGTCCACCAAGTGGGAGACCTGCATAAATACGGGCAGGTAGCCCACAGTAAATTCAGTTTGTGTTTTACCCTCAAAGCAGAGCTTGGTCTCGTTATTGGGGGGGGATTTTATTACCGGCGACTAGAGACTGCTTATTGGGAATGTTTGCCGCTTGGAAACTATTGCCGTTCGGCTGCTATTGGCGATTCGTGCATTTGGAGCTCGTGAAGGGAAGGAGCCGTACAGGTACCGTTCGGGAGTTTGGAGTGTTCCCTAACTGGCGTTCGCATGGTTTTACTGCATACGCTACCAGACCACATTATTGCGAACGGGGAGCATTCACTAAACGGCGGTTTGTACATTTATTACTGGAGGTACCGTAACATCGCTTATCCGCTCTACCACCTTAAAGGGTCGCCTGCAGTTTGTCTTTCTTTGCGGGCTGTAGGGCCCTATTTCTAAGACCCTATCTCTGGCGCCCCTATTATACCACGTCTTCTGGCATTCCTGGGCCGCCCGCAGATTCTCCCAAACAGATTCAGTGAGAGCCCGCAGTCGGTCCCGGAATTCCAGAACATTCTGAACAATAGGGATCCCCCCTCATCTGTGTTGCCCTCCCAGTGCTCCCGTACGAGATCCAGGGGGCCCCAAACTTTTCTCCCGAACAGGAATTCGAAGGAGGACAACCCAGTGGAAGCCTGGGGCACTTCGCGGTAGGCAAACAGAAGATGGGGAAGATATTTTTCCCCAATTCATGCGGGACTCTGCAAAAGTGTCCATTGGTCTGGGGGTGATAGGGAGCGCTAAATAGGGTTTTCACTCCACAGCTCTGCCACAATTGCTGTGTCAGGAGGGCTGTGAACTGGGTCCCCCGATCGGATAGGATCTCCTGGGGAAAACCTACACAGGAAAATATTTTGACCAGGGCCTCTGCCACGGTCTCCGCCTCCATGTTGGCAAGAGCTACCACTTCGGGGTACCTAGTGGCGTAGTCCACTACTGTGAGGATGAACTTTTTGCCAGACTGACTGGGGCGGCTGAGGGGTCCTATTAATTCCACCGCTACTCTGTGAAACGGTTCTTCTATAATGGGTAACGGGTGGAGTTTGGCTTTCTGGTGGTCACCTCTTTTCCCTATCTTTTGACATATGTCACACATTCTACAATAATATTTAAGATCCTGGGTGACCCTAGGCCAGAAGAACGTTAGGGTCAACCGGTCTCTTGTTTTCTTAACCCCCAGATCTGCTGCTAGGGGAATATAATGGCTGAGCTTTAATAACTCAGCCCGAAACTTACAGGGTACTATTATCTGTCTTTTAGTGACCTGAGTGGCCCCGTGTCCCACCCCTTCTGTCACTCTATACAGTAATCCCTTATGCCATTCAAACCTTTTGTGAGTGCTGTCTCCCCTGGTAGCATCTACTGCCTTTCTATACCCTGCTAGAGTGGGGTCTGTTTTCTGCTCCTTTTCAAACCCCTGGGGTGTATCCCAGAAAGTGGAAGGGGGGGTCGGGTAAAGGGGGTATTTTAACTCCTACCTGGGTTTCCTCAGAGTGCAACGGTGCTTCCATTCTGGCTTGAGCTTGGGTGGTAACCGGGTAGGTTTCGGAAGGAGTGTCTCGTGATAATTGAGAAGTTAAGCAGCCCACATAATTTCCCAACAATACTTCGGCTGGCAGTTCCTGCATAATGCCCACCTCCAACTGTTTAGATCCCGAACCCCAGTCCACAAGGACGTTAGCTGTAGGTAATTTGTGTATGGCACCTCCAGCTACTCTTACAGCCACGGTGCGACCGGTGCGAGTCTGGGCCTTGACTGTGTGTGGCTGTACCACGGTTAGAGTGACCCCAGAGTCTCTCAAAGCTCAGGCCCCCACGCCATCTTCTGTAATCCACTGACGGTGGTGGTCCCGGTTGTCGCCCCCAGCTTGCACTGGATTGACCTCGTGTAAAACACTCCACTGTTCTTCTTAGCTAGGGATGTAATATATACTTTCCTGCTGGACACAATGGGCAGCTGCCCTGGGTTGTTGTGGGGGTTGCCTTTCCCAGCTTCCCCGGTTCAAACGAGGGCACTGGTTTTTGTAGTGTCCCGGTTGCTTGCAATAATGGCACACTGCAGGTGGTCGTGGTGTTGCTGCTGAGCTGTGTGGCGGGTTACTTAGGGGAGCTCTAGGTGGTGCAGATGTTGTTGGTGCTGGATAGGGGTGCTTAAAAGCTGGCCGGCTCGCCCCTTGTTCTCGCCTCGTGTTGTCCTGGTGTTAATCTGCCAATCTGGCTGCTTCTTCCACAATTTTAGGCTTCCTGTCTTTTATATCGTCCGCTGTGTAGTTAAAAAACTGCTCCAATAGTATGAGCTGTAAGGCATCCTCCAGGGTAGTTGCTTGGCAGCCCTGCATCCAATTCCGGGCTGCCCTGTGTAGCCGGAAAGCCCATTCAGTATGGGAATCCCTCCCCTTTTTCCTCAATTCTCTAAACTTCTTCCTGTTTGCCTCTGGGGTTACAGCATATCTGGCCAACAAAATGTCTTTTACCTTGTCATAATTGTGTATGTCCCCATCAGGTACTTCTCGCAACGCCTCTGCTGCTCTTCCTGATAGCTTGCTGCTAAGTACTGCAGCCCATTTTGTGGAGTCTAATCCCTCCAGTGCACATTGACGTTCAAAGTCTTGTAAATAACTATCAATTTCCATGTCATTGTCATTAAAAGTTTTAAATGCTGCATAATTTACCTCCTTTGGTAGGTCATTTGTACTTCACGGGGAGTGTAGCAAATCCCCCTGTAACGGTTTGTCTCAGTCCTCTCGCTCTTTTTGCGATTGCCTGGCTTGTGCCATGACCTGCAGTACCGCCTCTGTTGATGGATTGGGTCCCAATACACTGAGCATCCTTCTGCATCTCAGTTTCTTACTCGTGCTCCATTTCTGTATTGCTGTTCCGTCGCTCTGTATTTATTCTGCAGTTAACGTGGCTTTTGTCTTATTACTTGCCACTACGCCTCGAGCTTCCAGTAAATCCTTTAGCGTGGTTCTCTTAAGTAGCTGATACTGCTGAGCCATTCATTCCCTTTCTTGGTTCAGAACGTCCGTTCGGGATTCGAATCCCGCTGCTTGCCACCAGTTGTAAGGAAACCAAGTATATTTAAACCTCAATCGGTAGTTTCCTCCCAAACCGCCAGAGCCTTAGTTATTATAGCCCTCCGTTCGGTAGATAGAATAGACGAACCATATAGTAATCCCAATAGCTTCACAAGAAGATTCCCTTAGTGAAACACACGAATCCCCAAACATCAGCCGAAGTCAAGAAGAAGGGTACAAGATGAACTAACTTTTAATGGATACACACAGCTTTTATGCAAGGGGACATCCCTCAGGGAAGGACAAATTCACCAATCATATACTGGAAAACTTTAACACACACCCACAGTTCCCTCCCCTAGCCCTGGAGATAATTAAGTCTGATAAAAGAATAACTTAATTATCTCCGGGCTGAAAAATCACTTTTTTCCCCCAATAACTGGATCACCCCTTTATACTTGGGGTATCCCCACAAATAACATGTCCCCTGATAGCCCTGATCTGGGTAACCAACATATTCGAATTTCACCCAGATCGGTTCAGGGGTTCGCAAAAACTATGGATGTCTTCTGTGACCGGCTCACCCTGGGCTGTATGCCCAAAACAGTTCCATGAGTTTGGTGGGTTTTGCCGGTCACTTTAGAAATAGCAGAAAAGCGAACAAAGTAGCGAATGGATCCCTCTGGCTCCTAGCAGCGTTCGTGCCCCTCTGTCGAATGCACCAAAGTACCAAATAGCGCTCTTCTAGCTATTCGTTAAATAGAGTTCCAGCGTTCGTCTGTTTGAGACCGGTGTTCGGGAAGTAGAGTGTCCGTTTTCAGTTCCATACACTCGACGACCAGGTCCCGCTGCCTTTGTTCGCATGAACAAAGATGGCCGCGGTTTTCTCTGCCACATGGCGTTCAGCTGTACGAACGCTGGCCGCACAGACAGAGGTAGCAATTGAATCAGTTTTTGATGTTTAACGAGCCAGAGGGGTGGTCTTTGTTCGATAGTTACATCTACCGAATGCAATGGGCAGAAAGTGTAACAAAAGGGGGATTTCTTCACAGGAATCAACACAGTAAAGGAGGAGACTATATTTAAAAGAAGAAAAACTACCACAACAAGAGGATGTAGTCTTAAATTAGAGGGGCAAAGGTTTAAAAATAATATCTGAAAGTATTACTTTACTGAGAGGGTAGAGGATGCATGGAATAGCCTTCCAGCTGAAGTGGTAGAGGTTAACACAGTAAGGTAGTTTAAGCATGCATGGGATATGCATCAGGCTATCCTAGCTATATGATAAGGCCAGGGACTAATGAAAGTATTTAGAAAACTGGGCAGACTAGATAGGTCGAATGGTTTCTTTCTGCTGTCACGTTCTGTTTCTATGTTATGCACAGGCAGAACTTCAAAGAATGACAGTGTGGAAGCAACCTGCCGTATATCATTGGCAAAAAAACAGGTCAGTGATTGGCCTGAGAATGCGTTAGCAGGTAGGTACACACAGGAGTCAATGATTGGCCTAAGAATGTGCTTGCAGGTAGGTACAGGTGATTAGGGGATATAAATGCTGCTCGATTCTCATTGAATTAGGGGCCCTGATTAACCAATCGTCCAGGATGTCCCCTGCACACCATTCATGCTAAAAATACATGTTGTATTGCCGAATTCAATTATCATTTTATCACATGACTTGAAAAGATGAGAGATACAGAAAAGAAGAACTTATTCCACAGCTCTATGTTATTAAGGGGGGAATTTAACAACAAATGAGACAAACTATTAAAAATGTTGACGGTAACCATAGGTTACATAGTTACATAGTTACATAGCTGAAAAGAGACTTGCGTCCATCAAGTTCAGCCTACCTCACATTTG